TGTTTAATTCATATGCTGCTTACTTAAGGGTGTGGCTATGGGGCTGGCTTCTGAGAGAAGTGTTAATGCATGTCCAAAATGGCTACTACAGATTGGAGATCTTGGTCACAACTGGATTACACAAAACAAAGCTCTGTCCTCAAGATCACGGTGCTGCCTAATTCTGTCTCTCCAGGTCTTTAACTTCCAGCCATTGGAATTGCCTCAAATCTATTTTGGCATGGAATACATAATTATTTTCGTATTGTGCTAGTCTACTCTCCTGCTTTCATCCCCATGAGCCAGGAGTGAACAAGAGTTGGCAACTTTATACTCAACTATTATATTGCAGAGTACACTTTAATCAGCACCCTAATAAATAGCACACCCAATTAATTGGGATATTTGCCAGCAAACCAATTCCTTTCCCTGTGCTTCAGTGGCTGTAAATGATGGATAAATAGCATTCTTGCTGTTGTCTGCAAGCCTATTTGTTGTAATTAACAGGTATGAGTTGGTCTTTTCTGGCATGTGTTTCCTCAGTAAGTTGCTCCCTTTTTAGTAGGCTCCCTGCTCCATGCAGTTACTAAAAATAAATAACAGATTTCCCTTTCAGTATTTGCTTAAATCAAGGCAGCTCTTTTGTATTTTAAAGAAAAAAAAGTAATCTATCCATTACATTGCTATATGGTTTTGACATTAACAGTAATAATTTAATTAGCATATTTCTTCTTTAATTAGTATGGTAAAGAAGTCTTTGCCACACCATGGAATAATTTACAATAAAGGAGGGATTTCTGCTGCAGCTCTCTAAGGCTACCTTTTCTGACCAGGGTTGCACGGTGGTTGGCTTTAAACTGGTATTTCCTTGAGGGGGATCCTCAGAAGTACAATCTATTTTAATAAACTGGTATATGCTATGATTTACAGTAGACATGTGACAATTTCTCTTATTTGGACATCCTTTGCCAAAAAAGAAAATAAAAATGAACATGGTAAACTTTTTTAATCCCTGCATTCTGCACAAATTGCTTTAGTGGCAACTGAAAAAAAAATTGGAAGTAAATGAATATGAAAAGGGAAATGGTACTGGAGAAATCTCAACAAGGGATCTTAAAAACCAGGATGGCTATGGATCAGCAAAGGGTAGAAACATTCGTGTAATTGAAGGAGAACATAATTTGTGGGTTATCTGAAAAAAAAAATTGTCCGGGTTGGCATTTACTTTGACTTGTTGGCAGGAGGAAAAGAAACCGCCCTGTACCACTGCATAAGGTTCCTTATTAGCTGTGGCTTCTGCAGAGGCTCCGTCTCCTCTTTGGAGCATGGAGGATTTCTTTCATTACATAATCTGGAATTTTTTTTTTTTTTTTTTACATAGATTGAATTTTTTTTTCTCCTGTGTGTGCAAATTCTCTTTGCCCCAATGCTTCTATACTGAGGTTATTATGCTGAAGGAATGCAAGCGTCTAGAGTAACAATGGTTCATTTTCCTTTAATGACTTTGTCGACAGGATGGAGACATTTTTGTGGTGTGATGAATTCACTCGGTCTCCCGTTGTGTTTTCTCCACATGCTTTGGAAACTCTCTCTCTCCCTGAGAATTGTGGCCATCCACTCCAGCAAGAGCTTCATTACTTTATATTCATTGTATTTAAATGACACCCCAGTGGTACTGACCTCCTGGGATGATTGATGTAAATTATATGCTATGTAGGGGGAAAATAAAACCTTTTTCTGACTTTTTATGTTCTGCAGAGAAATAAAAAGTGAAAACAAATGACAGAGAAAATCAGGCCTATTCAAAGTGAAACTTTGCAAGCATTATGGTTTGAGCAGACTCCAGTTTGTGAAAGTGCTGAGACAGTTCATAATGACCTCATGATCTGAAAGGTGACCTGAGAAGGGGGAAACAATTTTGTATGTGACCTTTTTCAGTTCTGTATAATACATAACAAAAACTTCATCATTTTTTTCCCCCCCTCTTTACAAGTATTGTAGGAATTCAGACTTAAGCAGAGAAGAGCCTCTGCACTTTTACCATGTAGACAAAGGCACAGTACTAGAAGGGACACCTCAGTGCTCTTTCCTCTTCTCTTACAGCAGATTTTCTTGTATTGACTTTTTGTAGCCAGTAGGTATCTGTCTTGTTCAATTATTCTGCCAGAAGTTATTACCTATAGAAGTGGCAACAGGGGGAATGTTCTCTCATCAGCCCAGCTCACCATTGGGCAGGAGCTTCAGTCCCTCATGAACAGGTAACCTGCTGTGCAGGCGAAAGGGTTCTGCACAGCAACACAATTTGTCAGGAAATGTTTCTGTCAGTGCTTTTTCAGGCACCTCACCAAGTCACACTGCCTCTATCCAAGCTCCTGGAAGTTATGCAGCTCACACTGGACATGCTCAACCATATTATCCCAGAAATTCTGGTATTAAAATTACCATATGGAACTGGCATAGTAATTTCTCTGTTTTTATTATGTTCTTATATTATTCTGTCTTATCAATTTTGAGATATGTAAACATATGCATAGAAATGTCAGTAATATGTTGCCTTGCTTCCCTACGTTTAATGTAAGGTTCTGACAAATCACAGAATTTGGCTACAAACTCGAGTTGCCTTGAGTTTTTCTGCAGTACTTTTCATAACCTGACAGAATGTTTTGATTCTCCTTTTTGCCAGGAAAATGCTTATTGATAATCCCACTTTGGCTGGGGTTGCCCAGATATTTTAAAATGTATAACAGGAACTGTTCAGGCCATCCTCCTCACAGCAACAACTTAAAACTTTGCTGTGCAGGCAAGAATCAGCAGAGTGAGGCCTCTCATTCTCCAGGATAATATCTTGGTGTTTTGCCCTGTTGCTGTCAGTGCTCAGGCTGGTATCAGCTTTGCTTCCAAAATGGTAAGCAGCAGCAGCAGGAGGGAGAGGGGCTGGCAGCACTCAGCAGCGAGTTGCAGAATCACCTCGTCTTTCTGAGGCTGATGTGGGAGGTGGGAACAGGGAGGAAGCAACACACAGGGGACTGACAGAATGTTTATATGAAGTAGCAAGAAGGACGGGGAGTGAGTGGTAGCCAAAAAAAAAAAAAAAAAAAAGTAAGGGCAGCAGAAGTCAGCTAAGGGAAAAAGAAAATAAGATTACTTTCTACTAAACTGGAATTCAGATTGTCCCTAGAGTGTTAAGATCACTGCAGTGGTTGCCAGAGCTTTCTTCTTCCTCCCTTTCTTATCCAGACCCCCAAAGAAGTAAAATGGTGATATTTACATAAAATTACAAAGTCTCTGAGTTGTCAGTTTCTTAGAATGCGTCCTAGTAAAATGATATGAATACTGCTTGGTGTGCAGGCAGGAATTTGAAATAAAAAAGGACTAAGGAGGGCAAAGTAAAAGAGCCTAACTTTTGAAGTTAAATACCCCACAAACTTTTGAGAAAAGTAAGATTTTTTTCCAAAGCAATAATAATTACTCCATTTACCTCTGTTGGTCTCATTTATTAGTTCTGCTTTATACCATGGCACGCATCAGCCTGTCTCCCAACAAACCTGCATGTGACGAGCAGAATGACCAAACTAAACTCACAGAAACCTACGATTAGGAGGTGTCCAAGGAAGAAAAGGTCGAAAGGAAGAAAGGAAAGGTGGTTTAATGCTCCAGCTCACCTAGTCATGCCCTTCCCCATCAACCTGTTAAGCTGGCAAGATATAGGAAGAGGAAAGCCACCTTTGCCAGGAATCAAGAGGAAAACATGGGTATGTAATCACACCAATGCACTGAATCAGCGCAGCAAAGAACAGAATATTTCAGCTGGAAGGAACCTACAACAATCATCCAGTCCAATTGCCTGACCATGTCAGGACTGACCCAAAGTTAATGATATTGTCCCAATGCCTCTTATACACTGAGAGAAGCAGACCATCAACCACGTCTCCATAAGCCTGTTCCAGTGTCTGACCACTCTCTCAATAAAGGGATGCTTCCTAATGTCCAGCCTAAATCTCCCTGGCTCAGCTTTGATCTATTAATGCCATGGCTAAAATAGTACAACTGGGTATTGCTATAGCAGGATCCATTGGTGTTTCCAAGGGTAAAGATGAGCACAGGTCACTGTTGTTTGCGCTGCTATTTTTGAACACCTGTACAAGGATGTGGCTGCTGAGATGAGGGTGTGCTGGCACCTGTGCTGAGACCAGACACCTGTGTATGCCCACAGCCGTCTCTCCCAAAAATCCCCTGGCTTTTTGGACTCATACCAGCCCTGAAGCCCCTTCCTGCTGCCCTCCAGCAATGCCTGGGGCTAAAGGGGAAGGAAAAGGTGGTTATGGCCTATGAGGCAGCACATGCAACACATCCCTGGAGATGTTTAAGGGAAGACTGGATGTGGCGCTAAGGGAAATGGCCTGGCTCACAAGGTGGTGACTGGCGCATAGGCTGGACTCGACAGTCTCAGAGGTCTTTTCCAACCTAACTGACTGGTTATTCAGAGAACCACAGAATTGTTAGGGTTGGAAGGGACCTATGGAGACCATCCAGCCCCTGGAGCAGGTGACACACGAACGCGTTCAATTGGGTTTGCAATGTCTCCAGAGAGGGGCAATCCACAAAATCCCCGGGCAGCCCGCTCCACTGCTCTGTCACCCTCAACGTAAATAAATTCTTACTCATATCTAGGTGGAACTTGTGTTTCATTTTACAGCCACTTCTCCTCGTCCTGTCGCTGGGCACCACTGTAAAGGGCCTGGCACCATCCTCCTGGCACCCTCCTTTGAGATATTCACACGCACCAACAGTAACCCGGGCGAGCAGCGGGCCGAGGGACACGGCGGCGGCGGGGGTGGGAGGAAGCGGCGGCAGCGGCGGCAGCGGCGGCAGCCCCGCCTCGCCCCGGCTCCTCCCCGCGCTCTGGGAGGCGCCGCCGCCCCCGCCTCCATCTGCGGGGCGGCCGCTGTGGCGGAACCGGCTCCTCCCCGGCGCGGGCGGCGCCATTTTACCCCCCCTCCCTCCCTCAGCGGCCGTGGCGGTGGAGGCGGGCGGGGGGAACAGCGCGAAGCCGTCGCCGCTTTTCCGTCCCTCTCGTTTCTCGCCTCGGTCCAGGCAGCGCGTGGAGGGGAAGGACCGAGGTTCAGTGCCTGCCCCTCGCTTTCCCCTCTCGGCTGTCCGCACACGGGGTGGGGGTACCGGGCACCAAAAGCTGCTCCCACCTTCCTTCCATCCTTCCTCCCCTGCACATCTCAGCCTCCTCATCCATCCATCCATCCATCCATCCCCAGGGGTGAGCCTTTGAGTGAGTCACCAGAGAGAGCACGCAATTAGAGAGTGTGTTGCTATTAATTAACTTAGTGAGGCTGCTCGTTGTTGGGGCCTTCAGGAGCATTAGCGGGGCGGTTCCTGCCCGCGGTACCTGCGGGGCGGGGGCGCGGGGGCCCGGGGGCGCGGCGTTTGCTGGTGGCCTTCAGTGTTACCTTGGACCCTGCCCGTCCTGTTCGCTTTGTCGTCTTGCAACTAATCCAGGAGGTGTTCCAAGACTTTTTAAATATAATTTTTTAAAATACTCTTTAAAATTATGTGACAGCTTGGCCTGCAGTACACTGTGTACTGCTGGGTGTTGTTAATTTCTTCGTGCCACTCTGATGTTGTGATATGTGACTAGTTTGTAAATTCCACCCGGAAGAAATTGATTTTGTTTATTTTGCCTGAACAGGTGTGATTCCCTAACTGGAATTCTGTGATACTCCTTATTTGGAGTCCTATGCATTTGGCTGCTCATTCTTGATGAGAAATTTTGGATGCATACATTGCTGCCATAGCTTAATGGTGTTCCTGATATGCCAGAATGTTCTCATTACTGGGAAATGCTAAAAGCCTAGGAGTGACAGTCCAGAAGATTATTTCTCTGTGTTAGCTATAAGTGATTTTTCTACTTTAGACTATTTTTATATTTCCTGTTTACTGATCAACTTCTTCTAAGTTCCTAGAAATTGCACAAATGGATGATTTGCAGTCAATGACTGCAAAGCACATACACATGCAAAATATATATTACTGTGTTTGTGGAATGGGAGCAGGAACCTGATGTTGCAGACAGTGCAAGTTTGCTGTATGGCATTAGTGTTAGTGATTTATTATGAGACACTTGATTTCCTACTAGTGAATCTGCTTCAAGGTTTGCAGCCGTGTTGGTGTTTTGCTAAAATTTTCTTTTGAAGTGTTTTATGTAACTCCCACATCAATCTCTTTCCTGGTACAGGCCTGGCTTTCCCTTTGGCTTAAGGCAGCAGTGCTTACTTGGCAGGATGCAGTGCAGCCATCCTCTCTCCCTTTTTGCATATCTTTCTTCACTGTTGGCCAGATCCAAGTGGTGTGGAAGGCGGTGTCAGTCCTTTTGTTGACTTTGGTGGACTTTACACAGGCTCCTATTTGCATGTTACTAATATACAAATCATATTTGTTTTTAGTTTGGTTCCTTTTTATCCTGTGTGTTGTTGCTCTGTAGGTGCGAATGTTGATGGCCAGAAGTAGCATTTCCAACGGTAACAGGATAAAATTAAGTGTTTTTGAAAGGCCTATCTCTGCTTGTGGAAGTTTAAAAAAGTTAGTTTTCAGTTAGATAAAGAGATTCTTAGTTATGATGATTCTGAAGAAAAGCTTGAGGTCTAACCAGAATCTGCTGAAACTGCAGGAGGAAAAAGCTCAAAGTTGTGTCTCTGAGAAGTAAACAAGAAATCCTTTAGTGGCATTTAACTTGTGATTTTTAAATCTATGGATTTGAAGACTTTTTTTTTTAAGGTTTCACAGGATTCTGTGGCTTTAGAACCTCTGAGTGTCATAACCAGCTGAATGACTCTCCTGGGCTCAGTTCTGGGTAGCACAAAACTGTTTGAGAGTTGATTAGTCAATTAGTAGCTTGTCAGCATAAGCAAACTGTAATTTAGCAGGCTACAAGCGTTTTAAGAATTGCCTACATACAGCAGCGCAGAGCAGCATTGTTTAGGTCGTTGGTGCTGCTCTGCCGTGATGCCCCCGGGCAGTGAGACCAGCTAGAGGTGTCTTTCTAGGTCATCACTCACTGCAAGGGTGTTCTAAGGCAGCAGGCCAAACCCAGGCAGCCTAATTATACCGTAGAAAATAACTGAGTTAATGCTCTTGTTGCAGTTGTGAAATACCCAAATGTGCAGATAGACAAGCATGTAAAGAAAAGGAAATTAGTTAGGCCTATGTTCTCATGGAACCATGCAGTGGTGACTCAGTTACAAGCTTATCTGGAGCTGATCAAAAAAAATCTGTCTGTCAAAGGTACTGAAAATGGCATTGATTTGATCTGCTATCTGTGTTTCAGGTACTTGGCATTCCTAGTGCTATGTGGAGTCATTATTAATTTTAAGTAATCGTAGTAAGTGTTCTTTTGCAAGCTGTCACAGGTGAAATTTCTATTTATAAATAATCTTTGGCTTTTCTCTAGCCCTGTATTTTGCATATGATTGAAGTATCCTGTTTGATGACAATCAGACTTTCACAGAGTCAGCTGCAAAGTTTCTAGTTCACACAGCTCCTGAAGCCATCACAGAAGTAGCAGTAATGGATAAAAGGGGCCAAGAGCTTGGAAGATGTGATTTCCAATAGACTTTTGCTGAAATGAAGGCTTTTTTACTTGAAATGTCACTCAAGCATATGATTTTTAAAAGCACTTAACAATGAAAAGCTCTATTGATAATTCTTCTGATTTCTCCCAGGTATACCTCAGTACTGGGCTTAATGTTTATTTTTGATTAAACAAGAATGCATTTTAGCAGGAACTTACTGGATATCATGTGTGACTATAAGATCTGTGAAAGGGATTGGGTGGCCTGAATGTTACTGACATGTTTTTAGACCAGCTTCTAAAGATCTGATTTTCGTGCTTTGGCCTTAAATTAAAGCCATGGCTGTTTTTCCTGTAGTTTTAATTGAATTTGTTGAATAGATGAAATTCTCCGCCAGAGAATTTATACTTATAGTGGCAAGCACTGATTTCTGCAACAAGAACAGCCCCACAACAAGAACTGGAATTTTTTTTATAATATTAGCTATAGATTTGGCTGCTCATTCTTGATAAGGAATTTTAGATACATATGTTAATGCCATAGCTTGATCATATTCCTGATATGCAGGAATATTCAATTAAGGTCAGGGTGGACCTACATTATGAAATTATTTTAATTGTATATCACATGGGGAATCAAACACAGCTCAGGGTGATATGAGAGGAGAAGGGTTGATGTAATCAGTGTGATAGGTTGGGAAGATGCCATTTTAAAAGGAGGTGAAGGTTTAGACAGAAAGTTATACCAAGGAAAATACAGTTTAAAGGTAATGGAAACTTGGTTATGCTTCACAGAAAATCCACCTCTGTTAGTAAACCCTTAAATTTTAATTTACTTTAAATGGAACTAAAGACAGATGGGGACCCATGCACACTAAAGGAGTTGCTTGCTGGCCAAAGAGCAGTGAAACATATTGATGGGGCTAACCTGACCTCTGCATATTAATACAGGAATGCTTTACTCGTCAGAAAAAGCAAAATACTGAGCAAGTCATAATTGGGCCTTGTTCATCCTTACATGCTGAAATCAAGTATGCAAGTCCTTGATTAGCTGGAAGCTTTTTATTATCACCAGACCTGTGAGCACACCTTGGGTTTGCTTCACTGAAAATCACCAGTGGGTCCCATGGGGAGGTCATGCATCTCTATACAATTATTAAATAATTCATATTGAATGTGTGTAATACCAGTGTATTAAGAAAAAACAACTGTAAGTTGAAATAAATGCAGGGTTATAGGAGTCAGATTCTGGAAGCTGTGAGACCTTGGCTGTTAGTTTCAGATTGTTTAATCTTTACGCTCTTTTCTTAAATCATTTTTAGGAAGGAAGGAAAAGTCATTTGTGCTTAATTTGCAGTGCTATTAACTGCCAGTGTGGCACAAAGCTCTGCAAAAAAGTGTGCACATTCAGTTCAGAGGGAGGTGGGTGTATGTATTTGATTCATTTTGCCTGCCTCCTCGTTAAAAACAAATGTATCACTTCTGGAAAAGGACAGAGCTCTGATGAGACTGGAGTTGGAAATTCTGGGAAGTGTTTGTAAACACCTCCAGATGGGAAGGCAGAGCTCTCATGTAAAATGCTTCTCTGTATTTCCCAGTCTCAAATAAAACAGTCACATCTGTGTATTAGTATTCTTTCAGCAGTCCAGACCATTCTGTGGTCTGGTTCAGAAGAAGCTTTAAGTAATTGTCATGTCTAACATGGGGATGGACAAATAATAGCTTCAAGTATGAGGACATGCAGAGTCATTTTGAGTAAAGCACAGCAGTTGTTGCACACAGTGGAGTCAGAAGGTTTTATTTTAATCTGAGGTTGTTTTAGTGACTTTTCTTTCCTTGCTGAGTCAATGAGAAAGTTGTGCTTATTTACTGCTTTTGTGTAAGGTCTTCAGTAAAAGTAATGCACAAGGACACCAGGAAGGATTGTTTTATCTTCAGGGATGTTGAACAGGACAGTTTCAAAGACAAAATCATCAGGATATGTGTTATTCTTTGGATGAAAATCTACACCTACATGCATTACAAGATTTGTTTTACCTGTTGCTATCAGCCATGCATGTTTCTTCTCTAACATCTACATGGGAATCAATGACTTAATTACCTTTTAAATGGCCAGGGGAAATGATGTTCACTTGTATTCCTTGTATTCGTGTGGGCTTTCCAAGCATGTTCTGTTCCAAGAGGGTGTCATGGTTAAAGATGAGATGCTTATTTGTCTGGGTGGTGAAAGCTGGGCTGTGCATTGACAGCTATAAGATGAATTTTTCTTTCTGGTATTCAGTTTAAAATACAACTACCCTAAGAATCTGGTCTATCAAGTAATAAATGGAAGCAGCAGGAGCAGATGTAATGTGTTATCCTTAGAATGAATCAGTGCATGCATTCTGCTTTGTGGTACTTTGTTAATTAATTAAAAATGAAAGAAAGCTGAGATTGCAGCCCGAGCTTTGAACAATATTCTTGTGTGCAGACCTGGTGCAGATGTGTCTCTGCCTGCCCACAGGTTGTTTCTAATTCTGTATTTGGTCTGGCTGTTCCCTG